GAAAGCAGTCCGGGCAACGATCAAGTACGCAATGGCGACAGGGAGATTGGATCTTGACGAGGAACGACGAAAGATTGGGACAATCACAGTAGCGGAGCTCCACTAACACTACACAGCCTCAGCCAGCAGATCCCGCTTTAGCTGCTGAAGATAGGACGCTGAACACTTGGAGAACGCAGCCTCCAAGTCGATCTGCTAAACTAAGTCAAGAGGCAACAGGTGGCGTGAGAAAAGGGGAGAGAGTAGAGGGCTTGTACGAGTTGATGACCGAACGTCAACGAATCGGATGTAGTTAGCGTGCCAAGGCCCTTTAGGCTTCGTGCCTCCGGGCGAAATGAATTCCATCCATCCACCCGACTTGATCAGGATGTCTGCATTCAACTGTAACGACCCTGCCATCATTGGCTATTCCGTATGTCACTTCCACCGCTTCCTATCAATACACGCCCACATTTCTGGGGAGGATACGATTCTAGGAAGCCAAGTCGAGTAAGAACAGGTTGGCCTCTTTGTTGTCGCCAAAACCGTTGTGGAAGCGGAGGCTTGCGGTGTTGCTAAGCCACTCTACGACATTCTTTGCCGCACTGGAGCAAGGCCGGATCGTTCCAGTGCTCGTCTTTCATGTCGAATACCAGCTCCATGCAGAAGCCTCGAAGGCTGGGGTTCGACTCAGGTGTGGTGGAGGAGGTGCAGTGTCCTACCGACGGGATTGGTTTGGTAGAAGGAGGGATATGTGGGAGCAGGCGGATCCCAGGTTACCCAAGAGTAAGTTGGAGTGTCGTAACGGTTGATGATCGTTTCGAGCGTGATAATCAGCCGAGAGTAGGGTATGGGCGGGGCAAGGCGATGGAAGCGGTGGCACATCAGCGTCATGGCGCGTCGGTCGGCATAGAGGGCGTAGAATATGTTTTTAGGTCATGCCGCGGCTGCTGAGATGATGTCGACCAGCAGCTCGTCGGGAAGCTGGAGAATGTAGCCGAGCGGCAGCCCCGGGTCCGCGAGACCAAAGCCCTGGAGATGCGAAGTTACCGTCGTCATCGACATGTTGTCCACAGTTTCGTTTTGTGAAGTGTCGACGTGCATTGTGCTCTGGCATGACTTGAATTTCGAATGACCGGTAGTTACGAGTGTGTGACTTATCAAATAACTATCAGTCACGGTATTTGGGAAGAAGGGGTTGGTTGATTGCTGCTTGCAGAAAACGTCAAGGAATCTGCAGGCGCTTTGGCACGCACATCCCAATTCCAACTTCCAACACCTCCTGCTAGTCTTGCTTTGAATTTTCCCAGTGCCTGTCTTCGCCAATATCGCGCTTCCTGCCGTTACCCGAAATCTTGATGGAGAGCAAACAAAGCCATGCGACTCATGAGCAGGTGATGAGCCACAGGACCCGTATTATCCTCTTCCGGTGGTCCCGTCTCTGCCACCTGGACGAGTTTGGCGAATTACAACGCCCTAATCACCCATTCTCGACTCTTCTGCTCTCGTTAAGTTATGGCCCTCAGTCCATCCCCATGGCCATCCTCCATTCCTTTCCACTCCCTACATCCTGAAGTTTCGCCGATTTGTGCATGATGTCCTAGCGGAAAAGCCAAAATTAGCTCCTTTGTCATTGAGAACGCCTGCAGAATGCGTCCTACCAATAATCAGAGGTATTGCATGGAAAGCCAAAACTGGCTGTTTTTCGTCCTAGTCACCTGGAACCGACATGCTCACCCCGACAACAGAGGCAGATCCCCGCTTTCGTTTTTGACCAAGATATGTACTCTAGTAAAGGTCGTGACAATGGGTCGTTGCTTTGCCTCGTGCTTAGAATGGCTCCTCCCGCCGCCACCTGGATACTAGTTGCTTGGCTACATCATACTCCTGGGAATCCTTTAGTCTTGCAAGCAAGCTCGTGCTTGACCATCCAACACATGATATGACTTGCGGTCCAGGGCTCGGCCTGCAATTACTCCGGGAGTAGTGCGCCGGCGGCGAGTAGGCTGGATGCCAGCCGCCGACGCTCAAGCACTAGTCTCCGTCGTGGGGTGAGGCGGTTTAGCTTTGGCATACTGTGGCGCCCAGGGTTGGCGACTGGGAAGGGCAGTTTCTTTTGGCCAAGTTTTCCTTCTCTGCCATCAATACACACCAGAACAGCAAAATTATCACAGTTCTGCCTTGCTCCCGTGCCCCCGTACGACAGGAAGTCATTGCCGTTATTGCAGTAGGTGAATACATACGCTTGACCACCCCTTGGACTGAAGAATGAACAAGGACACTGATAACTAGCCATCAAATCAATTGGCGAATTCTAACCAGCTATCAATTTGCTTTGCGTAGGTAGTGGCAGTATCCAACTCCTGAGTCCAGCTTGAAGTTGACACCTTTGGGTGTATATACCTTACTAGCTACGGGGGTGGAATTAGAGTTTGAGTTGGCTGAAACAAGCATTAGTAAAGGAGAGCTAGCGAGCCTGGCAACCAGACCTCCGGGCTGAGCCTGTTGGTTCTGGAGTTGCAGCAGGAGCGGTAGTGGCCTGCGAGGCCGGAGGGAGCGCTGGGGTGAGCTCGATATGCCCTACGGCTCAGCCACGTTAAGAAAGAAGCGCTCTTCCTTCTCTTCCTTGCGGATGGCGATCAGGGCTCGATCAACCAGTCGGCGAGCTGGGTCTCGAAAGCCCCCTCCGACTGGGGCACCTGCTTAATCGGAAGGGCATGTGGACTCAGCCCACCAGGCTGCCGACCTGGTTCGAGACTATCATCCCGCTCTTGGATGGTGAGTTTGCGGTTTTGTGAGCCCCCGAACCGGTGACAATACGCTAATATTTTCCGTCTTCCAGCGCCACTCTGGGCAGTCGACTGGCACGATTTGCCGCAGTTCGACCGGTCCCAGTTCTGCTTCATCGACTCGTCCAAGCTAGGGGGCCGTGACGACGACAGGCGGCCTGTGGACCATCCAGGTGCAGGGCGTATGCGCGGGCTACGGCGACGCCAAGTTCCACGAGAAAAAGTTCCAAGTGGCCGTAGATTCGGGCAGCGGCGGCGGGACTATCTCGCGCGCCGTCGCCAACCTGTACTGGTGCGGCGTGCCCAACTCCAAGTGGGACGACGGCTGCAACAACTATCTCTACCCGTGTGGCCAGGTCCTACCCGATTTTGTCAGCAAGCTCGCCGATGGCCGCAAGGTCGGCATTCCCGATGAGGGCTTGCGCTAGAAGGGCGAGAACGGCTGGTGCGCGACCGTGCTGGCCATCGGGGGGGACGACGACACCCTCTAGGGCGCAAGATGGATCCAAAACTTCTTTGTCGTTTTTGACTGGGGCAACAGCAGGGTCGGCCTCGACACGAAGAGCAAGTACTAGACCAAGTTTCGCCGGATCAACTCAACTTAGACAACTATGTACTCAGGTGTTGTGGGTACAATGTAGATAGAGAGCTATCCAAGTGTCAACCGATGTCGGACAACTTTCTGCTCGATGGATGTGTAGTCTGGCTCGCCACCCAGATGACGCCTATCGTCCCGACATTCACCAAGCTACCTACTTATTCCATGATAGTTCTTCACCCAAGCGAGGAAAATACCGGAGCCTTGAGACGCCGGTCCGCTTCCCCAGCCGAGATGCGGCGACTAGGCTCCCAAGCAACCATGTCACGGAGCAGACGCGCGAGCTCATCCCGCTGGGCCGCGGAGAGGTACGAGGCCCGTTTGGCGAACCGGTCCTCCAACGATGGTGTCGGTCGTCTGTCCTCGGACCACCACCAGTCTGGTTCGGGCGACGGATCCACGGGTTGTCCGGGTTGTGCCAGGCCATATTTGCTCCACTCGAACTTGCCCTTCCAATGAGCGGGAACAGGGCCATGGTGCCGGACGATAAAGGCAACCAGGTGCGTGAGAATCTGGAAACCGACTTGAAACATGTACTGGCTGGTGGACGTATAGTACACAAGAGCTGCAAGCTGCCAGACATCGGATTTGGTTGAAGCCGGACAGCCGAAAAGGAGTTCTGGAGGGAAGAACTCAACCGGACACCCCAAGGTCGGCGGCGGGCTGTCGCTTAGAAAGGCGCAGCCGAAGTCGATGATTTGGACGGTCGCCAGCGAAGAAGAATCGAGACCGGAAAACGATGCAGAGGCAACTATCTTCTTCGGGGCGTGTTTAGAGTGGGATATAGGGCCTTTGCGGAGTCGAAGCGCCTCCTCTTTGATAGGGCCTAGAAACTCTAGAAGACGGTTTTCAGTCATGGACTGTACATCTGGAACCTTGAATGCTATATTTGACGGTGTGAGATCTACCATCGGCGCGTATTTGTTAATTGCTGTGTCTTGAACTGCGTTTAGGCAAGAGAAATCTGGGTCTTACCGCCATGACAGACATTGTGTGAGTGCAGGAAGGCGACGGCGCTTGCAAGCTGCTGGCACGTGGAGTGTCGTTGCGAAGGAGTCAAGGTCCATGATTTGTCCGAATGAAGGCTGAATGCGAGGAGAGGGAATACAAGGCAGCGGTGCTGCCCGTTAGGCCCGGAGACGGTGAAGGAATCCTCGAGCATGACGATGTTTGGATGACTGGACCTTCCCACTTGGCCAAGCCGTTGGAGGAACTGCAACTCATGATTGGCACGCTCGTCACTGAGGTCGGCGCGAAGAATCTTAAGGGCGTGGAACGAGATTTGTGGTTGTCCGGCGGAGTCAAGCTGCTTGCGCTGTCGCTTGACCAGCCAGACAGTGGAGAACCCGCCATAGCCAAGCTTGTGAAGGACGGTATAGTCATCCTGGTGGTTTGTGATCGTGTCGCTAATGTCAACGGGGTGATAGCCGCCGGGCATGTAGCGCTCTACATCTTCGACGTGTTCCCGCACCATGAACCCGGTGTGGTGATACAGTTTGACGCGCGATGGGCCCATTTCCGGCATGGCGGCAACGTTCAGGAATGGAACTGCCAAAATCTGCCAGCGCAAATAAAGAATGAACAAGAAAATAACGAACCGCTGGGTGAGTTGATGGATTGGTGGATGGATGTATGGGATGATCGGATAACGGCTGAATGCATGTGGGAAACGGGAAACCGAGTCACACATGGGGCAAGGCACACTTCTTGAGCTTGAGGAACGTGGGGTGCGCCGCCTCAAAGCGAGGCCCGGTGGTCCGTGCATCTATCTCCCTTCTATTCTGTGTAACCCCCCAATCCGTCTCCTCTTGGACATGAGCTCCAACGAGTGGCCCGTTCGGCGCCGTGGAAACCTACTAACCAATCAATGCCAAGTTTTCTTTTAAGCTTCTTTTTCTGTCTTGTCTGGTGCGTTGGGACTCATAACGCAATGGTCGGTTGGAATTGCCCGGCCAGTCGCCTTCAGTCAGGTTGGTTGGTTGGCTGTCAGAATAGTTGGCTGGAGATGGGGTTGCATGTGGTTGGCCAGTTGGCATTTTCCGCCGCAGCTCGGGGGTATTCTCTCGCTAAAAATAAATCACACTTGAAATAGGCCGCTGTGTCAACTGGTTATTCTATGGATGCATGGTGACCGGCTTAGCCTCGCCTCTGCGGTAATCGGTGACTCGGTGGTACGGAGGCTGCTATGGGCCTACCTCGGGCTTCTACGTACCAGTACATTAGTGACTACATAGACACTACCTCCGGGTCTTACTCTACCCTGGGCCCCGGCAAGCAGAAGAGACCCAACAGCATCAGGGGCACGTCTCAATTCTGGTCTTAGTAGCGGTAGGCCTTGTTCGCGTGTTTCAGTTTCTCTGGCATCCGCCGCGTGTCTCATAGCGTGGCTAGGTAATTCTGCCAACAACCTCGCCTGGCCTGACTTATGGACCACTGTCAGAGTCCCATGATATCCATTCCATTATTCCTGGTCGATGCTGTTGGGGAAATCAAGGATACCTTAAATAGCTCTGTGGCCCCCCTTCTTCTTCTGCCCGCCTACTAGAGCATCAAAGCCATCATTATCACCAGACTGATCAGCAGAGCTTTCTTGTCCTCTCTTGTTCCAGCATTGTGTCTTCATGTCAAACTCCGCGCGACCCTCACGACGCCAGCTCTACCAGCTCAACGGCGCCAGGGCAGGTTGGATCACCCTCCGCAACGGTAATGTGATCTATGTCGAGTACAACAATTGGACGAACACAAACACGGAATTCCTCCCTCATCTTCGAGCTGCTTTGGAATACATTGCTGCCAGAGTTGCTGAGCGTTCACATGAAACCGGTCATGTTTTCAATCACATCCAAATTCGGTACGTAAGCTCATCAACACAAGTTGTCATTGTTTTGGCTGTTAAACAATCCCAGGTCTATGTTCCACCCCACGACACTAGTGGACGGCGAGCGGGTCATGGACCCTGGCGGTTTGCACATGACGTTTGATGCGAGGGCGGTCCTCCCAAATGAAGTTGTGGCTCACGACTGGCGGTCTGGACATGCCTATATCAGGGGTTTCCCTCCAACCACACGCCACGCGGACCCAGACAACTTCTATCATCAAGTTGAGCTCGATCACATTTCGTGGAGAGATGGCATGGTGGAAACATCTTCGGGATCATCCCATGGGACCACCCCTCGTGGAGGTAGTCCTGCAGGCGGCAGTTCAGGAGGGAGTCCTCGAGGCGGCGGCTCTGGAAGCAGTGAGGGTAAGTCGGACGGCTCTCAATCGGGCTCGGCAACCAAGTCCGGAACCCTGTCGAACAGCAGCCGCCTTGGCTCGGCAAACAAGTCCAGCACAGTGTCGGGCAGCAGCCACTCTGGCTCCGCCAATAAGTTTGGAAGTAAGGCGAGCGGCTCCCAATCGGGCTCGACAACCAAGTCCGGAACCCTGTCGAACAGCAGCCGCCTTAGCTCGGCAACCAAGTCCAGCACAGTGTCGGGCAGCAGCCACTCTGGCTCCGCCAATAAGTCTGGAAGTAAAGCGAGCTCCGGTCGCCGTTAAACCCCAACACCTCGTGTCAAGCATCTTCTGGTCCTTGGTTGGTCAACTGACCCGGTGGGAGTTGGAATACGGAGTCCGCTGGCTCGGATTTCGTAGGGCAAGATAGATATTAGATACTAGGTGTTGTTTTTCCGTCATTCAATAGATCAGCGCTGGTACGCTTGAACCCTAGTGTTGGGGATAAAAACCTTGATAAAGTGGGGAGTGGCCACCCCGCATTTTCCCAACCACCAACATTTTCTACATCCAGACACATCTGGCCATGTCTTCTTACAAGAAAGGTTTACTCCGTATAGCAAATCTGATAATATTATGTAGGTTGTTAGGTACAGTGGTTCAATATTTTAGATACCACCCCCTAGCCTTCTTATCACGAACCAACCATTATTGAGGCCTGGTGGGGCGGCAGAGCCCAATCAAAGTACGTAACACCAGGGAAAGGCTGAGATGGAGCCTGCATAAGGGATCACCGGGAACTTAAGCAGACTGGTGAGCGCAGTGAGCGGCTCACCAGGATCATTACCCAAGAGGTGAGCGCGGTGAGCGGCTCACCAGGATCACCGCCAAGGAGGTGATTGCAGTGATCGCAGGTACGGAGGTACCTGAGGGAGGAAGCTGTATATAGTCTACGATCTTTAGGCCTACGGGCATCACTGTAGCTTCCTCAGTAAGCAACTCAAGTGCAAGATTGTCAGTACCCTTGGACGTTGCTTGTTGTGAACCCTTTGGCTTCACCGAAACTCACCCCGTTGTCAAGTATAACCTTCAGGAGTCCCTTTCAGAAGTTGGGGCTTCGAGATTCATCACAATCTCGCAACCATGCGTAGCTAACTCACCTCTACCAAGCAGAAAAACCTATCAATGACATCCCGACCGCCTACCTCCTCTTCCGCCCGCTCGGATCCGATTTTTCACAAGTCCCTTGACAATCTGAACGTACCTCTACGCGTCGGGTTCCATATCCTCGTTTGTGATATCAGGCAGCCATCGATCAATGCTAGACCACTGAAGGATGTGACCACCTAACGCAGAGGCCTGTTCTTCTCGCGGCGTGAAGACAAAGTGGATTGTGCCGGACGGGGAAAACACCGTTTGCCCTGGAAAAAGGATGACGTACCTCCATTCTCCTTCGGTCTACGTGTGTGGATTAGAGATCCATGCGTGCTGCTGCTGCTGGGTTGGGTTAGAGATCAATCTGAAGCCGATATGACCTTCTTGAACTGTGATCCAGGTTGAGTAGCCATGGCTATCCGTGTGGAGTGCTGTGTTATGCCCTCCCTCGGAAAGAAGTGCCCAGTCAGTAACGTTACGCCATACGTTCCAATTCTGTCCGGCTGCCGCTGTCCTTTCGGCGCTATTTCCCATCAGAACTGCGTCGCGCACTCGGAGGAGAAGTTGGTAATTCTCTCCCTCGAGAAATGATGGTAGTGCCGAAGGCAAGGAGTTTTAAAGGTCAAGGAGGTTCCAGGGGTCATTTGCCAGCTGCTGTCTGAGGAACCGGTCTCGGACTTCCCGAAGCGTTTTGCGCTCACAGGATCTCTATGACAACGTTCGAGACTGTATCTGAACAGATACAGTCCGATCGAGACCGAGATCTTCCATATGGCGAAAGAGCTGTCGAATTGGGCGGTCCTCCCCCTTCCACCCAAACCACTGCTCATGTTGCGTGATCATAGGTACGTCGAGTTTGCCGGACTCGAGCTTTTGGGCCGCCTTTTCTCCGTAGAGGAAATATGCTTCGTTGGCCGTTGGCGGTCTGCTTTTTTGCAAAATGTTGAAGACTAGTTCGTTTGCTCGCCTACCCCAAGAGTCTGGTGCGTGCTCCGTGGATTGCAACCCCACAAGCACCTGTTGGCAGTACGCTTCGTCACGAATCAGACAGTACCCCAGGCGGCATTCTTGTCTTGGCATAGGGGATACAGAGCTATGAATCACATCATCGAGCCGAAACCTTTGAGGGGGTCATCGTCAGAGAGATCCGGAAGTGAAGCACGGCGCCGTCGGAGGAAAGGGCTGTGATCAAGGCCGATCGTTTCGGAACCCGTGTTAGCGTTCGGCAGGTCTCCTGAGAACTCCTCGTTTGTGACCGCCTCTGTGAATTCTGAAGATGTGCAAGGCACATGTTCTGAAAGGGAAGTCTGAAGGGCGCATATGCAGAGAGCATCCGCCTGACCGCACGTGCATCCATCCTGTCTAAGGTTGCTAGGAATGCCGATGGTATTTCGGGTGGCAACATCGCCCTTGTTGTAGACTCGCTGTGTTGAGCGGCCTGAACTGGCGGCTGGCTGGCTTGGAGCTTTGCGACGGCGCTTCATGGTAGTCTGGGTTCTCTGTCCGCGGGCGGAGTCGCGTAGTTGCTGTAGCATTGGCGGCGTGCCGAGACGTGGCATTGTCGTAGCTCTTCTCCGTGCTCCTCGGCCGGGTTTCAATGGCACGGAAGGAATTGTCAGGAGGGAAATCCAGAGGCAAAGTCAAAGGTGTTGACAACTCAGAGTGGCTTGGGGACGCGGGAGTGGTAACAGCGGCAGGTGACGGTACAGGGTCGGCATCCCCAATGCTCATGTTGGCGGCGGTAGGTGATACGCCGGCTTCCTCCTCTGTCAAGGTAGTATCCGAGATGCTCTCCAAGACACCGCCCAAACCCGATTCTGGAAAAGACGAGTCCTGCCAACGGCTCGGGCGGGCACCGGACCATGAGCCCAAATTGGTCGAAAACGAAACTAGCAGGAAGGACTTCACAAGTGAGGTCGGCGAACTATAGCTGAACCTTGTCTAGATCGCCTTCTTTAACGAACGGTCCTTCATCCTTCCACCTCGCTAGATTGCGGAGATCTACTGGCTCAATGGGATTCACCCCGGCCCTAATATCCCGTCGCCCAGGTATCCGGAACCGTCGGAGCAGTAGTTGGTTTAGCTTCTGCACGCCGTTCTTCCGGGTATGCGGTTTTATATCTGCTGAGAAGTGATTGCAATAGTACTGCCCTTTGCTGGCTAGCTGGTAATGCTGAACGAAATCCTTGCCCTACTGTAGGCTGATAGCCCTCAAGGGTGCGAGTAGCTCGGGTATCGTGTCTGATCCGACTGCAGCAACGCCCAGAAACCGGTCCTATTTCGCTGCCCCATCTTCTTGCGCTCCCCTCGGCCGGCTCAATCGCGGGCGAGTACGCCCTTTCCTCTCTCTGTACGTGAGACATTCGACCGATATGATATGCTCAAATGTGGCTAGCCGGAGAACTAGCCTGTCGTTTTCCTCAGTAGCTTATCGCGTTTCTGTGCGCACTTGTCGAACTTCTCTGTGTCAGTTGTACAGAGGCGGATATCGTGGCGGAATTTTTCGACTAGCTTGGTTTCGGGGGTGGTCAAGAGAAGATCAACTTCGTATTCGAGAGTACGGCAGATGCACGTGGAATAAGATTACTATGGTAATGTATCTTAGTACAATTTTGCTTCTTCCGTCGTAACCGAACTTGTTGGTATATCTGATGGGCCTGACATCCGCACTGGGAACGCGCGAGGAAGGTAACAAAGTTACCTAGAATAGGCGAATTTGCTTACATCGGTCACGTCGTATGCCTTGGCTGGATGCGATAACGGAGGTTGGGTATGGGGTGGTTGAATTGGTGATCAATTTTTGGAGTCGGGATTCAAGGGTGACGGTGGAGTGCTTGGAACTGGGAATGTTCAATGTTGTTCCAAATTTGTCGCTCGTCACTCAGGCGGCCAGTTGCACCCAGCCCATGGAAATGGCCTTCTCGAAATACTTCCAAATGGACCACTTTCGCCATCATGAGCAGACAGAGGTGGCAGCGGGTCAGTAGCAGCCTGGAACAGCGCGACCAGATGCCCACAACTCGAGAGACAACATCTAAACTGAGCCACGCAACGAACAGCTTGCAGTCTTGCAAGTGTGCTGGGGAGCGGCCGTAACGGCATTCCTGGAGTTCGGCTCTAAGTTGTGCTTCTCACCAATTTGATTCATTTCGGAATCACTGCGCTTCTTCCTGCCTTTCTTTCTCACAGTCTTTCCCGCGATCTTTTCAGTTGGTCGCTTCTCGGCTAATTAGTGCACCGATTTTCCAGTGCACCGTCCTTTGCACCAGAAACCAACCTCGCAAACCCAGCAGCCAACCGCCAACCTGACTCTGTCCCTTCCAGCTGAATCCAGTCTGCAGCCTGCCTTGACTATCATATATCTGATACCGAAACGCTCGATACATGCCAAACATAACCGAGGTAAGTGACATCTCCTGGCCGATTCTCTCGACTGCCAAACGCAAAGCTTGTTCGAGGCGCCTGATGCCCTTTCCAAGGATCTTTTTGGAACCACAAGCCTAGCACCATGAGAGAGGAAACAATGCTAACAGTGAGCATCACACTAATCACAGCAAGAGCAAGAAGCGGAGGCCTATCCTGGCAACCCACACTGGAAGAGGAACGAAATTGGGCGTTCGATCAAAGAACAACTCCCCACGGGTACCCCGGAGACATGGCAGCCAAGAGACAGCGTCATACTGCTGAAACAATTTCGTCTGCGAATCGCAGCACCGACAAGGGCGACGGAAATGACGTTCGCGACGCAACCATTGCAGACTTGCAGACAAAGCTACGGGAACGAGATCGAGAGGTGGCGTTCCTCAACTTAATCAGAGCAGGAGGCATTCGGATTTTGGCCCGGTGGAGGGACAAGATCGAATCCGTGAACATGGCCAACGCCGAGCTTCCAAGAGAGGTCAACGACATGTCTCGCCACGGTTACTGGCACGTCTCTCCGCATCTAATTTGAGGCATCAATGTATTCAGGGACATGCCCAAGACGGAGCTCGAGATGATCCTCAATCTCCAAGCCGGTATCATGGAACACGATTTCTCAGGTGCTCTGGCGCTCATTATCCGATAATTGGCCTTGAGATTGCCCTATTTTGGGTTCCATCCAATTGCCGCAAACTTACAAGGACATCTATAACCTCGCAGCGGACACTCTACGCAACCATATAACTTACCACTGGCGAGTCATCATCATGCTGGCTCTCCGCGCGCTCGGGCTTCTGGTGGGCGCCAGGTTAGGTTCAGGCGAAGGCTCGTACTGCGACGAGGACGTCCTCCATTACCTGAATCACTTCGACCTCGCGGCTATATTTTACCAAGCCGTTTGCGAATCAGAGAGGATGAATCACGCTCACAATGCTCAAGTAATAGGAGTGCTGGCTAAGACCCTCTTCTAGAAGCAAGCTTCCGGGTACCCCAGTCGGCTCTTATCACGAGGACATTCTGAACACAGGGTGGCTGTCTCGTCGAAAATGGCAATCTGTTTCTTCGTATCTGCTTCACCAATCGTAGCATTTGCGTGATAGACAAGCCCCTCTGCTCAATCAAGAGGAGCACCGCAGACTTTGGGAAGGTCGACTTGCTCATCAAGGGTTCGTGCGAGGGCGACAAAAATCACCTGGTAAGGGGCAATCCGCTGGTGGTGGGATACTGGCTGGGTTACTGGGCGTCAATCAACGTGGATGCTTTGAAATAATCAGATTCAAGGAGCACTCCCGACCTTTATCATGTTTCTTCAAGCCAATGGATAACCTGAATCTTGTCTTACTCTCCGCGTACGCGTCTCTGTCCTCGTAGCCAACCTCTGGATTGTCTTCTTGCTTACTGTGCAAATGACCTCGCTCCGCCCACACTTCATAGACTCATGCTGGCACTAGGTCAGGAATGCGGGATGTGTTACTACCACAGCAATAGGACTTGAGCACACCAGATGCTATCCCGCAAGCAATGAAATATCTTACGGAATGCAACTTAGCGCCATTTCCTAGCGGTCGTAACACCTTGGTCAAAGACCTTCCCTTCCTTCTTCTGCCTTTCCTCTTTCTGGATTTACATTACCCTTCAGGTACTTGGAAGAAGCCCCCCAGACGGTTCTCAGTCCTCCACGTCTTCGCCCCCATGCTCGTCCCACCCTCCCAGTCCGAAAGCGAGAGGCTCGCCAGCCGCGTGATCTCATTACGTCAATCTTGGACAGGATCGTCCGACCAAGGCATCTTTCTCTCAAGCAAGTCATCCGGCCCAGCAGCGGCGAGACGTTCCCCAGTCAGCCTGTAACACTTGTCGTTGAGATAAGTCTACGGCCTTCCGGACTCCCCCGCCCGGTGTGGTATCTGGCAGTATGCATCCTCTAATTTTCTGATGTTGCGGTCCCAGACGTAATAAATACATGTATCGAGCTCGCTTACTTGGCGCTCGATCATGCTCTGCTGGCGTTCATCCAACTAGCTCTCCATAGTCTCAGTCTCGGCAACGGGTTTTGCGGTCGTCATGGTGGCCGTTCCTGTCATCGCGATTGCCTCAGCGGCGTTGTCCTTGGGTGCGTCGTACGGATGCTCATGGTTACAGTCAGACTCCAGTTCTTTGCCAGCCGAGTCAAAGTCTTTCAGAAGCGGGTCAAGAGAGCGTTGATGTTCGAGTTCACGGTGGGCGGTTTGCCGAAGGGGGTTGAAACAGCCTGTATCCGACGCTGAACCGGGTTCTCTGGATGTCCAGCGTCCATGGTGTCTCGGAACAAGGCATTGTGCATTGCCAAAGCGAACTGGGCAGCCACTTACGGTATCGAATTGTGTGGGTGCCTGTGATGAAAGGGTCCAGCCTCCGGTCAGCTCCCTCCGACTGGCTCTTGAATGCCTCAATTGATGCAATCATCCCCGTGTCGCTCACTCTACTTCTCGAAGTAGTTGGAGAGAACACCCCACTCCTAGACTAGACACTCCCAGCCTTGCCAGTCTCGTGGCAATGATTTTCGATAAACTCGCCAAGTGGTATGGCAAACTTTGGACTTGTGGATTGCCTCGACCCAATCGCACAAGACAAGGGTAGCGCGCCACAACGAGATTTTGAGCAGCGGGGTAAGCTTCAAGCCATTGGGGTTTGTGCCACTTCTACAACGTTGCTCAATAGGCGCTGTTCTGATGGAATGCGTCTCCTTGTCGTAGACAACGTCGAGTCCCATGAAATGGTTCTTGGCCTCCTGGATGTCGTTGAAATTGTCTGTCGAAACATCAATGTCAATGGGCCAGGGGACCGACCAAGAAGTATGTGGTCGAGCAAAGGACCTCGACCAAAGTAGCTGTCCAAGGCAAAAGGGACTCCTCGCGGATCTGTTCCGACAGCGACAGCTCAGACCCAGTCGCAGGCGAAATGTTCTCGTTGTTCGAAAACGGGAGATAATGAGATTTATAGTCGTGTAACTCTCTCAATCAAATATCGCTTCCAAAAGCTGGCAAGTCCTTGGGTATTCCAACCTCGTTACAGAGCTCGCGAGCTTCTTGGGCGACACTATCCCGCAACTCCTGCCGCCAACACTGTCCTTTGAGATTTCGTCTTCTGATGGGTCACAACTGGCACAGGCCCAAGGATTCTCTGGCATGGTCCTTCCCTCAAATTCATCTGGCAACTAACACTTCTAAATTCGGTGCCGCTAGCCAAGCTGCCGTTGGCTAAGGCACCGCATAAATTCAACTGCGGCGATACTCACAGACCTTTGCTACTGTGAATCCACAATCTCTACTGTAGCATGCAGGTGAAGAACTGAAGAGAAGACTGATGTGTCTCGCACTGGTGAAGCAATCGATCACACTGAGCTCTGCCCAGGTGCCGTACTGCAGCCGTGAGATGTGAGTCGTGCATGTTGAGAAAAGTGGACCCAACGAGCTCATTGTACTGGTTAATCCACCCCACCGCAAGATAGGCGACGTCAATCAAAGACTTCGTCATTTTGAACGTTGTTCCGTAATTACAGGTAGAAAAGTTGTATTCGGGACGAATTTCGAGCCGGTCGAAAACTGAGAGTGGTTTATGTGGTCGGTTCGGGAAGGTAGTGGAAGTCGAAGTGAACAGCATGGGCCACTTGCCGACTTTGGCACTCACAGGGTGCGATGATTGGCTGGGAATGGGCTAGCCCCACTTGCCATCAACCATCTGAGCCACCCAACCATGGAAAGCATGGCCTAACCCAGGGGCCGAAGCCAGAGCCAGAACTACGGACAAAGCATTCCAGGTTGGATGGAGAGAAAAAGCAACGACTGAATGGGATCAACAAGGAATACAACAGGGTTCGGGGTGGGTAGTATCCCGGCGCACCCTGGTCATCCCATTCTATCTCAGTGACGGCTGACAAGCTGACAATTGGTGCGTTGAACTCCCGGAGCACAAAGATTAGAAGCAGCAGGTGCAACTCGGAAGCAAGGTAATTCTGACGAATTCATGAAGTCTTTGTTGTCTTTGAAAAGATCAGGCGGTGCCTTCCATTGGTGCTGGGATTCCAAATCTGTTACCCCAGGACCTTCCGGCCTGAAAGGCTGAAACCCGCTCAAACTTCCCCTCCTGCACGACATAGCACCCCTAAGCTCAACCCAACCCAGTGCTCTCTCAAGCTCCTGACTTACCATATATCCTTAAATTCTTCCATCCAGTATGGCGACAGGCACGTAGGTCATTGCCGACTTGGCCTGCACCTACCGAGGCCGCACCATCATCAACCTCGACGGCGACGTCGCCGACCAGTACCATACGCCAGGAACCCACATCTACTACGGCCCGGTCATCCTTAACTGGATTGGGGTCTCGCGTCTAACCACTCCCGGCTTTCGGAAGTACAATTACCACGGGCCCGTGACCATTAACTACGTTGGCCACTGAACCTACAGCGCGACCTTCTCAGGCCTACACACTTACTACGGTTTGGTAACCATCAACTACACCGACACTCCATATACGGTGTCTTAAATTAGAACAATCTCGGCACTCACGAGTTCCGCGGCCGCGTTGCGCTTTACGGATTCGCACACGACCCTGTGATCCCGGGCCCAGGGATAGCGCAGACCACGAGCGTATGCTACGGGAGTAGTTTTTTCGGCATATTCAGAGATAAGCCTTGGGAGCAGCTGCGCTTGATAGCTGGGACGCAACTGATGGGAGATGGGGAGCTGGGATTGGTCGGAGACTCGACGCCCGAGGAAGCACCTGAGCTCGCTCGGCCATCGACAATGAGTGGCTCAGCAGACATGCAATAGAACGTCTTACTCGGTCGCCAATTTTTATGCGCAACTAGCACTCGGCTGGGATCAAGGACTGTAAAGTTATGGGCCGCATGCTCGTCTTTCCGGGGTCAGGGCTGCTTCTATGGGGGCGGAGTGGCCAGCATCGATGGTGGAGGGAAAGTGGAGGGGTGATAAAACGTGTGGTTCAACGCTGAAAAGCGACGAGTTGGGCTCTACGAAGGAATTTCGTAGAATAATAGCGATCATGTAAATACAGCGGCTCTTCAAGTCACATACACATGAACTCAAATTGCTGGCCCTGCTCGTATTGATGCCGTAGACAATGGTAGCCACTGCGTGAACAGCGGAAAGGGGTAACATTGTCGGGCCCAGGGCAACCTGCCCCTCATCAGTGCTTCGCACGACCAAAGAACGTCCAGATTCGAGGCTCTGCAGAGCATACAGCTTCAGGTTACTAAAGTCTTGCTCCAAGAGCCGTTCATCCGCCCAAAAATGGGGGCATGATTTTTTTTTCTCTGTGGTTCGGCGACTTCTTCTCCACGGCCAGCCTTACGCTCACTGTACCATCGAATAACTTTTCCTCCGATTTCCTGCCCCAAAATTCCTCTTCGCGTCTCACAACAGGATTTCCTTTCCCTTCCGCTTTGGCAAAGCCTTCCCAGCTCTCACCATTAATTATCAAAAGCGCTAGTTACTGGCAGGCCAAAGCAGAAAAATGGCCGACAACTGTCGTCTCAGCGATGCTAATGCCAGCAGTGGCGAGAATAACGCTGGCAAGCGACATGATGAGCGCGCTGGAGTCGGCATAGTTGCAGGCGCTGCCCCAGTCGCTCAACCAGCTCCGATAGCTGGAGGCGCGGCCCCGCTGTACGTGTTGGCGGCACAGTCAACATCACCAACTAGGTACAGTACAGTACTTACTTCTGCACCTACGGCCAATTCGACCCTCACGTCAACGACTCCCCGTCGGCCAATCTACCATTCTTTCAATTACCACCCAAGATTCTAAGCACAGCGCACCTGTGCAGCTTGTCAGGAACTTGAACAATCAGCACCCTGGACATACCATGGCGCCCAAGCCATCGACGAGCAAATCCGCTATCTTCAACCCCCGCTATTCGTCAACCCCCGCGTCCCGAAACCCTGATGGGGACAACTACTGTACTTATACGCTGGTATTGACATGGCTTTTAAATGAGTTGTGGCTCGGGAAGGTTGGCATCGGAAGGATACAGGTTGATTTGGAGTTTGCTCGACGGAACATTATCGGCGGAAGTGGAACGATGAAAGAAATGCCACACCCAATCAACGTGTTCCGCCGAGTGACACTGCTCGGGGAAGATTCAGAATAGACATGGACAGGTGCCTATTTTTGAGAGGCCTCATTTCTGAGGCGGTCCTAACCAAGTTTCGACGGGAGGAGCAATGATGAGCTGCAAATGAACTCGGCGATATCTCGTTAAGGTCTTACAGTCTCAGCACCGGTAGCTCGCAGATTGCGTTCCCTTAGCTCAAGCCGCCTCATCCCGGAACAATTTCAAATTTCATCTGATATTTGCCAGTGGTAACCCCCGGCCTGTGTTGCTGATGAACAGGTTTTTAGCAAGCTGCGCATGGAGGGTTCGTTCTTCGCTTTGTTTCTTTCATGCCTCCACAAGTTCCGACTTCTCGCAAGATCTCTGCTCTGGCTACGAACTTCCTTGGCTTCGCTTGCCATCATAAAGCCAGGTGGCAGGCACCCAGCAGATTTCAGACAACATGAGTAACCGCACTCCTTACGAAGTTGCGCAGAACGCGGTGTTTTGGATCGACCAGTTCACTTCCTTCTTCGAAAATATCTGCGAGCGAGAGGGACCGTCTCGACCTAAATACGCGAGGGTATATCTCGGGGGCAGCGCGCTTCCACCATGCTCCCTTGATTGGTTCGTCGTACTCATTTATGAAGCGGTACGAAGACGTGCCGGGTGTAAGTTAATTCTACCAACACACCATTAGATTATCAAGCCCCCATCGTCCATAGCTTACCTTTGTTATGGTACTCACACGTTACAGCCAATGGCGACTTGGATCTCCAGGACCGAGTGCCATAAAGATCTACCACCCCGCACGTCGACTGCACCGAGCTTCTTCCCCGATTGCTGGAAGGCGGACATGAACGCCAAGTTCTCACAGATTACATTGGCGACTGCGTCGAGACGCTGGGCGTCGACAGGCCCAGGCCCGTGGTTCGACCGCAAACGTTTCCCGGTCATTCAGAAGACGTTGGCAGAGGTGGTGGACAATGCGTACCCCTTTTGCCGCGGTGTCGCTCGCGGTGGTGCGCAGCGGTACCAGCAGGAAGCCACGTCCCCACCATGGTCGGTCCCGCTCCCTCCCGCCCGCGATCAACCTCGAACGGGATGTGTACAAGGACATCAAGAAGACGAAACCTTTGCTCTATGGCGTCAGAATATATTACAACCATCGGACCCACATCTTTTACCCGGTACTCCCCTAGAAGCAAGGCAAACTGTCGTCGAGAGGCCGCCCGCTCGGCGACCACTCCCATGGGATCCTCTGCCAGATCTGCCAGGCTTACTCTCTTTTCGTCGAGTGGGCGGGGAGATGGAGGGAGGGAAGGTGGACATTCCACTGATCGAGTTCCTCCACAAAAACTTTCAAGAGCCGGTGGACGATGAGTATCCGCCGGGCAAGATCAAGGAGTGCCACGAGCGTTGGTGCGAGACCAACTGGCTGGATCCCTTGAAGGACGCGAAGTCTGCCAGTGCGCGTTCATCCGAGCCTGAAGCCGAATAGAAGGATGACGAGGACACATTTCGGGCAGCTTTCGGGGCTTGGGTTGAATTTGACGGGCAGCAGGAGTCGGGCGTGGGTAATGAATGGGATCTCGAAACCGGGAGACCTTGTGTTCAGATCGCTTACTGGATTGGATATGTACGTGAGGATAGTATGAATGCACTGTAGGGTATTATCAGATTTTAAGATATTGTCAGAGAATCAACGTCGCCCTGTGTCTCTTCCCTCTTCCATACTCAGGCGGACCGATGGCTGCCGCTTGTTGTTGACGATACGCGAATTTCCCTATTCGACCCGGACCTCCAAGCGTGGGGTACGTCGTATGTCAAAGCCCTGGCTTGTGTCGCTGATTGGCGGCCGCGACAGCCAAATCTCTCGAATATCCGCACCTACCACAAAGCGGCAAACATCGAAAAGCCGGCGAAGTTTGACGACAGAGGTCAGTCCCCTTGGGCCGGTGACCTGCGATTGCAATTTGCAAATGGTGTGGGTCTGCCCCTGCCAAGCAGAAAATGTGGGGAGTTACAACGCTAGTCCCTTGCTGTGTGGGTACGACCATCCAACCGGGTCCTTGGCGGGGTAAATTTTTTGATTTTTTGACGCATGCGATCTCGACAGTTCTAAAACTCGACCGACAACCGTGCTCAGCACAGAACGAGATGGTTATCAACTTCACCGGCCTGACTGGTTCAGACAGGTACATAGAGTATGTTCACAAAACTTCCAAAAGAGCTCAGGTTCTGACATTTCTTAGTTAAAAGGATGAAGTTGATGCCCGGATCGCCCCCATAAGGCATCTCAATAGGCCGAACGCGTCCTGACCTCGACCATCTTAGAGGTCGGCTCCATCCAAGCGAGAATTACCGAGCATCGGGATATGCCGTCTTCTATTAAACTCCAAGAGCCACTAGTGGTGCTTGAGTGCCATAAGCCCCAGCGAAGCTTTCTATCGCGACGGCGCCAAGCTCGCCCATCCATGCGGAACTCAACTTTTTGCCTTCCGATTCCCCGGCCACACCTGGATGTCAATCTTCTCGGCGCCAGGCCATCCAGGAATGTGTAAAAATGCATTCCCGCCACGTTGGACTTGCCTCGGAAGGGCAAGCGATGCAAGGGACATCCATCCAGAAATCAATAACTGAAGATTGTGTCTCTGTGGACATCTTTAGCCGGCCCTCTTTTCTGTCCCTTATGAAGGAAGACCTTCGCAGAAATGGAACCCTTCAGCTCCGTGTGTGGTCTTCCTCGAGCTGCAATAACGCAAGCAGCTCGACACGCCAAGCCCCCCGAGTCACGGCTACGGTCTTTGAACCGAGCCCAGTAGAGCGCCCACCATGAGTTCATCTATGGACAGCAGCACAGAGGCAAACTTCCCCTGGACGCCCGAGCAACTTGCCGTCCTTCCGCACGACAATGCCGCCCCAAAGCTTCTGTCCAGCATCTGGGCACTGTTCGCCGTTGCTACCCTTTTCCTAACCCTGCGCGTGTATTGCCGCATTCTGAAAAGACGCAGTCTGTGGTGGGATGATTACATCCTCATCGCCGCTTGGGTGAGTACACCCACTATCTTCCAAGAGACGCTCAGATCTATCTGGCCGATGCTGACACAGCCTTTACAGGTCTGTAGCCTCATCGAATGCTCCCTCCTGACGCATATGACGACCCTGGGCTATGGACTGCATATCTGGGACTTTGACTGGAACAATTTCCAAGCCATCATGGTGCCCACACTCGCATCGGGCACCTTCTCGATCACGGCGGCCGTCTGGAGCAAGACGTCGTTCGGCATCACGCTGCTGCACATCACCGACGGCTGGTACAAAAAGGTCACCTGGTTCTGCATCATCTCGATGAACGTCTTCATGTTCCTGTCAGCCCTGTTCCCCTGGGTCGACTGCACCCCCATCAGCTCGGCGTGGGATATGTCCGTCAAGGGCACCTGCTGGGATATCAAGGTGACTGTCTACTACGACATCTTCTCGTCGGGCTACTCGGCATTGATGGACATCGTGCTGGCGATTTTGCCGTGGAAGTTTCTCTGGGGGTTGCAGATGAAGCCGAAGGAGAAGATAGGCGTCATCGCAGCCATGAGCCTGGGTATGTTTGCCGGCGCTACTGCCATCGTCAAGACCACCCAGCTGCCCGACATGCTGTCGGCAGACTTTGGTACGATATCTCCCAGCCTTCATCCCAGGGTAATAACGTTGTCATTTTGGCTGACGAATGGAAACAGCTGACGGGGTCCCGCTCTGGATCTGGGGCAACGCCGAGACGTGCGCCTCCATCGTCGCCTCCAGCATTCCCATGCTCCGCGTGCTCGTCAAGGAAGCCGCCTCCTCCCGCGGATACAAGAGCGGCGGCTACTTCGACCGGGGGACGGGAGTCACCGGCAACCACAGCAGATTCGTCACCATCTCGAGCCGGCCCGCGCCCACCAACAGCGAGCTCGAGCTCCACAAGCTCGGCGACGACCGCAGCGACCGGAGCATCCTGGGCAATAATCCGAACCTGCAGGTGCCGCAGGCCAAGAATGGCATTGTGCAGGTGACGGATATTGTTGTCAAGTACGATGAAGAAAACGCGCAGGGCAAATGAGACTGGGGGTTGTGGTGTGGAAGGATGGAAATGATAAATGTGATTCTGCATGCTGCGATCGGCTACCTGCAGATGGATAACGCAGCATAGAGTACGGAATGCATAGATTGTCACCAACTTTCCTACATATCACCGATCCTCCCGTCGCCATGCCTGCTTCCGGCCCTTGAGAACTTCTCAACGTTCCACGAAAGCGCCTCACAGGAAAAGACTTCGTATTTTATGTGGCAACTCGTAGTTTGAATATCGCCATGCTCAAACGCCCAGAATGTACCGACCTGCCTGGTAAGTGTACCAACCTGTTGTGGTATGCTCACCATTACGGGCGGTGTGAGGCGTGACTGTAAGCCTCACTGACTGGTCTTCATCATGAAGGTGATGTATGATGGAATAGCACCAGAAGCACCAGGACTACGTTTCCGTCTTGACTTCACTCTTAACATTATGGGTTTCTGCTGCAAGAGGCGAGGCAACCTCTTGCGTCTGTATAGGAGAAGCAACCTCTGGTCGAGAAGCCTTTCTTCCCGGTCCCTTATCCCGCGCGGTTGTTCCCCGGACGAGCTTCTGGCTCACTGTCCTCTCATTCCTAAACTCTAACGTCCAAAACCACGTCTTAACGTCCAGGGGCTTGCAGATGTTCGTACCCAGCCGACAATGAAAGGCGAGCTGATGTCGTTGACATCCACCAGTTTGCCGCCGCGCAAGTTGTCGGGCTTGTACGCCTCCATGGAGAAGCCCAGCGCGTAAAGAAGTCGAGATGGAACTGGCAGACGTCATATCCTGCGGTGATCCCGGAACATATTCGTAGACGATGGCCCTGTTTCAGCCCACGTCCCCCTCGACAATGCCAGAAACACCGGGGCTGAAATCAGGGATGTCGTCTCGGCGAATCATGGTCCATCCATAGCATTTGAGCTTCGGCGGGAAGTCTGGTAGCGGGATGGGATCCTCGGGAAGTGGTGGTGGCCCCCCTGAGTCTTGGGCTTCGTCGCTGAAGGCACGCAGGTTTGCCAGAATATCTGTCACGGTCTTGGGTCGCCGCATGAGACCGATAGGCCGGTCCGGGTCGGCTTCGGGCTCCATCATGACTATTTAATCTTCTCGAGCAGGGCGGCATTGCGGTATTCGTCTTCGAATGGCCACTCATCTTGATTGAATCCTCGACCGTTCGGCAGTAGCTGCGGCTTGGGACGCTACGTGCGCCAGAACTGGAATGTCCTCAGTAATCGTGTAGACGTCTGGACCCAACAGCGGAATCGACCCCACAATGGAATTTTGGCACCACCATCATAAAAGACATCTAGCTCATCCAATTTGCAAGCAATCTACACACAAATCTGATGTTTCTACTCCTCTTCGGCTCGGCGAATAGTCTCTAAGCTACACACAGTTATCTCCTCGGCCTCCTCGACTGCGTGGCTGTTCTGTCGCGTCTTCCTCCTCTTCTTCATGGGGGACTTCATCAAATCCTCCTTTGCCTGGATAATATCCTCGATCCTCGCAAATTTATCATTGGCATTCTCTTTTACCTTCTTCCGGCCCTGTGGCTCGTAAGCCTCCAATTCCTTCGTCAAGTGGTCAACCTGGGCTTTTAAAGATGCAATCTCAGCGTTCTTAGCATCTAGGGCCATGCCTGCCTTGGCCAACAGAGTCCTTGTCAGCCGTCCACTAGCTTCCATACCTTCCCTTACACCTAGCTGGTGCATACGGATGTCCTGGCTCTTCTGAGGTGTCCAGAACTCAGTCGTAGGCTTAGGGGGTGGTGTTTCCGGCCGTGCAGGAAGAGCCTGACTTTCCAGGACTGCCTCGGGGTCTTCCAGCACTTTGGATGGATCCAGCGGCCAAATACCGGTGTTCCTAAACCCAGAGATGATATTCCTAGCAGACATTCCAAGCCTAGATTGTCACAAATGAACCAACGAGAGTCAACAACGGCGGCTTACTTGCAGAAGCCAGTGGGGAACGTAGGACGTTTCGAGCCAATCACTTAGGACCAATCGGAACGAGTCCTAGAGGTGCTCCAGAGAGCTCTCAGGAGCATGAGAGAGCACCAGTGCAAGGCCAATCAGAGGACGCTCTAAGAGGCTCTCGAGAGCACCATAGAGCATTGGCTCTAGGTGGCTCTAGAGAGCACGAGAGAGCAACCAAATGCATCTAGTATATAGTCACTCGTTCTGGAGGACTCTGGGAGTTCTCCAGTAAGCAACTCAAGTGCAAGATTGTCAGTACCCTTGGACATTGCTTGTTGTGAACCCTTTGGCTTCACCGAACCTCACCCCGTTGTCAAGTATAACCTTCAGGAGTCCCTTTCAGAAGTTGGGGCTTTGAGATTCGTCACATAGATGCATCCGTATAGCAATAGAGGAACCGTCGCTTGTTCACGGCAGCCGATGCTGTGAAGCTTGCCAGGGCCTTGGTACCTTGCCGGAAGTAGTTTTTCAGAGCTGAGAAAACACTGCGGTCGAGAGCCTGAGTTTTGTGGGAGGTGCGAGCAGGCAGATAGACCAACCGAACCTTGTCTAGCCAAGCTGTAGCCATGAAGTCGCCGGTTGTATGACTGGAATGCTCGTCGAGGACCAGTAACCTCCACTCGTCACCTTGAGGCTTGGTTTGTGGCAGATACACCTGTTTTAGCCACTTCAAGGCAATCTGGCTATTGCTCCAGCCAGTGAGACTGTAGTCAAACTTCCAATCTGGGAAGTCTGCCTCTAGTTCAGCTTTAGCAGAAAACCATTGGCCCTGAAGGGAAGCCCCGGTAAAGACTACGGTTGGCGATAGTCTTACCCCCTCTGCAGTGCCACACTCAAGGACAGTAACCCATGTAGTTATATCAGAGCTAGTTGTAAAGCCCTGCTTGTAAGGGAACTGCCAATGACTGTTGCCGGCCGTAGTTTCGAGCTCCTGCATGCCATGCTCGTCAAGGTTGGCGATATTCGCGGGTACGATGTTCTTATCGCGGATATGGAACTCCAGCCTCTCATAGAAATCTTGGTAAG